GGCAAGGAAGTCACTTTCCAGTGATATCATGGAGCCTGCTTCTGCCTCAATGCTCTTTTTTGAGAAAGCTTTCACGGGCATGGGTCTCTCTGTCAAGTGGAACAATCCCGGAAGAGATGGGAAACCGTAGCTGGGCAGTTGATTCAATTCAGAAAGACCTCCCTCTGTCTCTATGTGCACACACACAGATGGGTAAATGCATGTGTATAAAGAAAAATATGTACCAAAAGTCTTAACTAACTCTTGAGTCAGGGGGCTCTTTAGGCTTGAGGTTCGTATACATTCCCTGCATCGTGCGGGGCTTTCGGCTGCCGTCATCCGCTCTTGGGGATCGTGCTGCCATCTGTGGTTGCAAGGGGACTCGGGGCTCCGCCCAACTATCGTTAGCCAGATACCCCTCAGTGGCCCCAGTAGCCGGGTCGTGGGCACATAGATTGTTTTCCTGAAGGCATCTTGTATTGCACAGGTCGGATCGCTCTAGGACCTCAACTTGTGTCCATGAATCTCTGCAAACTCAAGTAAACCTCCGAAAGTCTGGTTTGGGGCGCCAAAGAGCAGGGGTCGCAGACACTTCGCCGTCCGGGTTTGCTAGCACCATGCCGATGCTGGTACGGCCCACACAGACCCTGAAGGAGCCTGGGCTTTGCAGGCTTTGCAGGTTCCAAGGTTCTGGAGATTAGGATCTGGGGGTTCTAGGAAGGTCTCTAGATGAGGTCCAGCATGGCGCTTGGTGTGTTTGTGGGTCGGGCTGCAGGAGTGCTTCATGGTTTCGGGTTTAGGGTGGGCCAATGTGTTTTGTCCTACAGTTGGCGGCGGCGGTCTCTTGGTAGGGTTGGCGCTGGCCGGGCCTCCTGGTCCTTTGGTCCCCTTAATCTTCCAGCCTCCTTGTCCTCCGACCCTCGTCACATGATCCCAAGCCCAGTCCCTACCACAATGGCCTTTCGGCCCTATCCTACCCAGAATCATCGTTTCAACGGCCCGTTATTGTGGGGTTGTAGTGTAGAACAGACCCCGAAACCCGACCAAAACACTGAACTAGGGTTTTTTTGCCAGGGCCCTGCGCGCCAGTCTGCGTGCTTTGACGTCTTCCCATCTGAGGGATCTGTGTAGATTTGGGCGTATCTACAGTATGGGCCTTGGGAGGTGTGGTCAGGGGCATGGTAAAGAGTAGGGAAGTACTGCTTAGAGAGAACCTCCAACCAGTACGGGAACTGCGTACCCCGCCTACGACCCTGGCTGAGAATCCGATCCTTATGAGCCGAGCCGAAAACAACAGAATAGCAAGCCTCCTCCCTAGGTGACAGAAAAACCTCCTTCATCATCTGGTACTGGGTATCCGACAACCGATGTGAGGGCAATGCAGGTTGGTGAGCTACTTCATACACATGGGCATTGTGGATCCTTGAGTAGTAGTGAACTAGGGTTTAGGGTTTGAGGGTAACTCCAAAAACCCTAAACCCTGAGCCCCAAAGCCTAAGTCCTGTTGCGCCCAGGCCAGCGCAGCGGCTCGCCCGGTACAGGTGCAAGAGGCCCTGGGTCTGGGGTTTAGGGTTTAGGGTTTAGGGTTTAGGGTTTAGGGTTTAGGGTTTAGGGTTTAGGGTTTAGGTTTAGGGCTTAGGGCTTCGGGCTTAGGGCTTGGGGTTTAGGGTCGAGAGTTTAAGGTTTGAGGGCGTAGAGTTGAGGGCTGGGTTAAGGGCATAGGTTTTGGGGCTGGGCAAGCCACGGTACGAATGACGTTCCGGTTTGGGGTTTAGGGTTCTAAAGTTTGGCATTGGTGGAGAAACCATAGTGCTGTCTCGCCGACCGACGCTGGGTAGGGCGCATCACTTGTCCATTTTTTGTGTATAAGGTTTCGCAGTTTAACCTTCCGCATATGTAGTTTCGAGCTTTTGCTGTGGCCCTGCAGTTCGGGTGACCCTTACAAGTGCACCTAACCTATCTATGGAAATGTATGGATCATAAATCGTGTCAGGGTTCATCTAGTCCCCAAGGCAGACCACTGAGACCACGCTTGGCCCCCGTCTCTATGGGTGTGGTTCTCAATCATGGTCCTTTCTAGAGCTCTTACAGTATTATCTTCCCTACACTTTGGGTACCTCCAAAAGGGTTTAGGGTTTGGGGTTCCTCGGTTCCTCATATCCCGCGCGACAAGAGACGCGAGTTGCTGGACACTTTAAACCGGACTATAAGACCTAAACCGCCAACCTCAAATCCCGCCCTTGCAGACCCCCAACCGCAATCGCCCAACCCCTTCCTTCTACGAAGGCGGGAATGCATCTAAAGTGTTTAGTTGGAATCAGAGCAATCTACTGGACCGCATATGGGGGGGCTGATCTTAGTTCTGGGCCCTTTGGAGGTGGGGTGGGGGTTCTTTTCGAGTATACTCTTTTTAAGTTAGGGTACCAACAATGCCTTAGGGATATTCTTGGACTTTTTAGAATCCTGCTAGGTTTAGAGATCCTGGAAGCCCTACTACACCCGGACAAGCGTCGAGTTCGCACTTGCCAAGTCTGTAAACCCCGCATGAACCCTGAACCCCAAACCCCATGCCCTAAACCCTAAGCCCTGAAGTGCCCTTGAGTTGAAGGTTTGGGGCCACAACCTCAAAGATGAGATGCTGGGCACCCGGAGAAGACTTGGTGTGACTTATGCGAAATGTATGTAGTCAAAGACCAATACCAGAGACACACAAAAACGATAAGACACCAACACTATTTAAAATTGGAAGAAGGGGAGCAGTCAGATGTGGAAAATGCCAAGGATAAATTTTGGTCTGAGACTTGCAGGATTTGGTTAAGTAAGGAGACAAGGACATCGCATTATGGAACACCGAGACACGTTGCATTGGCACAGCGAAGGCGGGGATAGTACTGCTTGATACATTCAATTTGGAACTATTCAATGTATCAAGGAGTTTTTTGGGTTGTGGTTTGGTGGGGGGTCTGGCGTGTGTGCAGTATGCCGACGGACATCAACATTGCTAACCCCGCGTTTTAAAGTTTTCGGGGGTGCAAGGGAGGGGAAAGGGGAGGGTTCCCTCCCCAAAACCATCCAACGAGCCGCCCCAGGGTCGGCGGACCCTCATCCTAAACCCTGAACCTAAAACCCCAAACCCTAAACCCAAACCCTAAACCCTATAGAGCCCCAAGCGGCCGCTGAGACGTAAGCTGTGCTACGCGGCAGAGACCCATCCCTGCATCGCCATCGAGGCACAACTTCGGTCCCTTGGGTTTAGAGTTTCGGGGTTAGGGTTTATGGTTTAGGGTTTAGGGTTTTTGGTTGGTTAAAGGTTTTGGCGTTTAGGGGGTTGGGTTTAGGTTTTAGATCTACTTGTTTTGTTGACGGGACCGCCCATTCCCTTAACGCCCCAAACGGTAAATCCCTCAACCTTTTCGGGCAACTGGGGCCTTGCAAAAGGGATGGGTGTCCATTTTTGGAAGTTTAGGGATTAAGGTGTAGGTTTAAGGTTTCGGGTTTATAGGGTTTAGGGTGAAGGGGAAAACCCCAGGCCCTGGACCTAATCAAACCCTAAACCCTAAACCACATAAGGGACGGGCCTGAACTGGTTCCCTCGTGGTGGCGGATCTGCTGGGTCTGCTTGGTGCTTAGACCCTAATTAATCATCAAGCGGCGTACGCTCCTTTAGGCTTAGGGTTTTTTTGGGTTACTATCCGGCCCGAGCATACTTATACACCTTCAAGCCTCAACCCTCAACCTTCAACCTTCAACCCGAAACCCTAAACCCTAACCCTTATCCCTTATAAGCCACAAACCCTATAGCTTCCACAAGGCGCTCGTTCCGGGAGTCATCGTCTCACCAGCAGGGCCTTTCGGCGTCTCGGCCGAGATTTGGTAGGCTTTAGGGTTTCGGGTTTAGGACCCGAAACACCTCAAACCCTAAACCTCGTTTGGGCCCCAAAGTACTTGCTATACGGCCGCTTCTGGGGTCTTGTCTACCATTTTGGGCATGGATCCTTGTGGACAGGGTTTCTGGGGCTTCTGGTTCGGGGCGCTGTAGTGCTTATCCGGGCTTACAACCCTAAACCCTACAAACCCAGAGTTTAGGGCGGGGCAGGTTTTTTTAGGGTTGGTTTCTGTCGTTACTGTCTTCCGTCTTGGACGTTGAGTTTAGGGATGACCCTAAGGCACCAGACCGGAAAACCGAAACTCCGGTTCCCAGAATCCTGGGCCCCGAACTCACTGTTTAGGAGTTTAGGGTTTCCTGGTTAGGTGGCCTTTGCCCTGCAGAACACCTCTTGTGATCTACTCCTCTCTGCGTACATTTTACACCCTGAACTCTATAAAGCTATGAGGCTTGCGGATTGCAGAGGGCTTTCCAGGTTTCCATGGTCTTGGAGGGAAGTGGCCTACCCCTTTAAAATAACTCCTCCCACACCGATGAAAAATAACAAAGTAGCGACGAAAAAGAAATCAATAAAGTCCATTTTTCTATTTTTTTAAACTTATTATCGACGAGTACCAAAATGCACTCTACGTTTATTAGATACAGCTAATTTATTTACACTATATCTTTTTGAAACAACTACTCCTTGATCTTGAGAAGCCCTCGATCCTCTTTGCAGGATTCCCATAGGGTGTTTGAAGAGGTGATGAGGGTGCCACAGTGGTGCCTGTCCCCTTGGTGTTGGGGGTAGGGGGTGGCCCGGTCTTGTAGTGGGCTTTTCAGGGTTTGAGGGTTTTACCCTTCAGCGTCCTCTCTCTAAATTTAGGGGATTAAACGGCTTAGGGGCTTGCATGCTTAACATCATCGGGCATATGCAGAGGGCTTTCAGGTTGCAGAGCGCGAAGTTGAGGGGTTTAGGGCTTAGGGTTTAGGGCCGTTTAGGGTTTAGGCTTTAGGGTTTAGGGTTTAGGGTAGTTTAGGAATTAGGCACAAGGGTCTGAGTCTATGGGTTGGATGAATGGCATTTGCTTCGGGTTTGGGTTTGTTTACCTTCTAGGCGTTCTTGTTTCATGGGCTCTCCTGCCGAGATAGCTACATGCAGTACAACTACAGCATGATGAAGTGCAATGTGGAGTTGCATCCTGCCAGGGGCCTACCCACCCTAACCCCCAAACCCTAAACCCCGAACTCTAGACCCGAAACCGCACACCCTAAACCCTAAATAAACCCTAAACCCCGCACCCTGAACCCTACACCCGAAGCCCCAAACCTGAAATCCCAAACCCGTAACCCTCAAGCCGCAAGCCCTAAACCCCAAACCCAAAGCCCAAACCCTAAAGCCACAACCCTGAACCCCAAACCTTTGTGTTCCCATGAGGGCTTCTGCTATCCGGGCCTGGGTTTGTGCATGCGGGGCTGAAGAATTCTGGGGTTCATAGAGGGTTTAAGAACAAGGGCGGTTATAGAGTTATATGGGTCCTCTTATTGTTCGTGGGGCCGGGGGGGGGACTGGTCATAGTTGGGGGTTAGGGTTTAGGGTGCGGTCTGACGGGCATGGCTGACAGTTCAGAAAGGTTCCTACACCCTGCGTGTCCCCAATAATTTGTACTATCGCTTAGGGTGTGTTTTTGGTATTGTTGACGACCAGTAGCTGAACCTTTGGGGTTTAGGGTTTGTATGTACCCGAGGGTTTAGGGTTTAGGGTCTAGGGTTTAACCCTAACCCAAGAAAGGGGGCCAGGCATGCCCTATAGGCCCGTTATTAGGAGCCCTTAAACCTAGGCTGCGGCCTACATCCTAAACCCCAGTAGCTGGACTGTTTGGGAAGACTTTCCATCATAACATCAGCCCGCCTTTACTAAGCCCTTGTAGCCCGTAATAGCGCCCCAGACCCTACCCCCAAGAACCCTAACACCCTAACCTATTAGGCTCAACAAAGAGCCCAAAGGCCCAAAGATCCGAACGTAAGAGTCCTCAGAGCCGTAGGGTTTGGGTTTTAGGGTTTGGGGTTTCGGGTTTAGGGTTTAGGGTTTAGGGTTTAGAGTTTTGGGTAAACTATAGGCGCTTTGCATCACCTTCGCCGTGGCGGACGCCAACGGCAAGCGGCCTTTTGGAGCCCGGTCCCTCAAGTCTTTAGGTGGCTATTTTTTGGGGGTTGGTTTATAGGGTTTTATAGGGTTTATAGGGTTTATAGGGTTTGAAGGGTTTATGGGGTTTATAGGGTTTATAGGGTTTAGCGGGTTTATCGGGTTTATAGGGTTTTCTGGGTTTATAGGGTTATAGGGTTTATAGGCTTTATAATATACGGTTTGTAGGGGGTCGTAGGGTTTTTAGGGTTTACAATATAGGGTTTATAGGGCTCGTAGGGTTTTTAGGGTTTATAGGGTCCCTAAACCAGGGTTTCTGCTCAAAACCCAGCGTTTCGCGCCTCCTCGCGGAAGCTGCTTCTGGCTGTCATTTGCAAGACCCCAGCCCCCCTCTCGCGGTGCCTTGTCGTGCCATTGGGGCGATTGCGGTGGTCTTGGGGCTGCTGCTTGGCTTTTTGCCCGGATCCAGTACCGTTACTGGACTCCTGCATCCTGGATACGCTGCTTTCGGGCCGTCTCCGGGTTGCTCTCTCATGGAGTGGCTGGTGCCCTGGATTGGTGCTGGCTTTTTGGTTGGTGGCGCTCACTGGCCATTTTCTTCGCGCACTGGACTGGATCTGGGGGCTAGTGGTTCGCTGCACTTTTTGGTGCCGACCCACTCCTGTATTTACCTGCCAGGCTGACTCCTGGTTGGCTACCAGGTCGGTTTTGGACCTCGCTGAGGTCTTCTATGGTTGGTGTGGCTCCTTGGGCATACCTTTGCTGGATACTGGGCTCGTCTCTGGCGGCGATCCCTTGGATCTCGGCTGCAAACCATACCGAGGTCGCGCTTGCGCCGGCCTCACTCTCCTCCCTGGCACCATCGCCAGCGGCTCAATCGAGCGAAAGCGCCTCGCCGGCTCAGGATTGGGCATCAGCGGGCATCCGACATCAGATTGCTGGACAGCCATCACGGATCGATGGCACCCAAGATGAATCAAGGAAGCAAAGCCAACAGAGGTGGAAAAGGCTGCGGAAAACAGGCTCCGCCGCCGTCAAGTGTCATCAAGTTCGTACCCCCGCAGTCTGTACTGGCAGCCCTCCAAGCTCGCGCTGGGCGTGCTCAGAGCGCCATCTTGTCCAGCGTATCGCCCAGGAGGCGAATTTCGTCGCGACCCAAGTTGCCAAGGCGACGAAACGCTTAGAGGCGAACCTCAAGGCGAAAAAGGAGCTGAGCTCAGCTGCAGAAGAGTGGTTCGGAGTCATATCCGATCACCTATTACAGCATCTTGCAGAGATGGAACGTCAAGGTCAGCAACTGGACCTGGATACCGCAGAGGCTCTCCAGCTGCTCGCGGCTCAGGCAACCGGACCTGTTTCTGGCGCTTCGGAAGCTTTGCTGCAGCGAGCCAAGGAAGGGATGGGGCCCGTTCTACACCTTCAGTGCCGAGCCATGACCCAGCGTGTTATGACGGCACTCAGGGACATAGCGGCTCTTTCCAGCATGGCCCCCCCGACACAAGAGATGACTGCTCCTTTCCGTACGATGACATCGTTGCCGAGCTCCTCGTCTGGACAACTCCCGGGTCCACCGCCCGGCATGGTGGGCAAACGATGGGCGAAGTGGGCGCACCTACCTGCTCCGGAAGAAGGAAGGTTGGGGAAAAGCCCGTGCGCAGAGAGCAGCCGACGTCCAGTACAGCATTCTCTTGCAGCCGCCCCTCTTCAAGGCGATGCTGGAAGAGGCACGCCTGGTGTAGGCAACCAGCCCATGGCAGCATCCAACCTACCTACGGCGCCATGGGCCATGCGTACTGATGCTCGGGTGTTTCTCCCCCTTCTGGAGGACTTTGTTCTGGCCGCGCTCGGCTTATCGCGTGAACTTGCTTCGGTGGTTGCTATTCACTCCCCACTGCCGGGATTGCCTGCTGAGCAGTACGTCCTTACGCCACAGAAACTCACTTGGTATGAACAAAGCGTCCCAGCTTGTGTCGACTCAGCAACTCCGCGATTCAACACACTCAGATGTTCTAGGGATCTGTCCTGCCATGACATTATTGACCTACTTGGGGAAGCTGTTGCTGTGGATGGGGTCCCTGAGGTTAAAACTGCCACTGCGTTGAGGGCTTGTTTACTGCCGACTCTCAACCACTTCTTCTCCCTCGATGTGACTCCATCCATCTCCATCCTGTGGGCGCCCTCGGTGACACAACCCCTGGCCACTCGTGACACTGGCCAAGGGGCCCCCGCCATGGTGTACCAGCTCACTGGGCCCCCTGCTGAGCCGGCGCACTCAGTGGTTGTCTCTGCTCATGGTATCATCCATGTCGATCTTCCTAACTTGCGCTCAGATGTAGCCCATGCACGTTGGTTGCAAAGGGAATTCGCAGAGCTTGATGGCTATAGGTTTCGACGTATGAGACATGCTCTGATTGGTCTGCCAGCAACACAGTTCCTGGCCTAGCTTGCCTGTACAGTTTCGCTCCTTTCGGTTCTAGCTCTGCTTCTTGGCTGTGAGTAATACACTCACTTTTGGCCTGCACCAGCGACCGCTGCAAGCACAGGAAGGAAGAAGGTCCCTAAACCCGAAATATAGAAAACCCTAGAAAGGAGGGCTTTTGTGTTTTAGGGGTTTAGGGTTACAGGGCAGAAATCTCCATTCTGGGATATTGAGAAAAAGACGCAGCCGCGCGGTGTAGGGTATCAGCAAGGCTGGGCTATTAGGCCCCATAGTCTCGAAAAACGAGCCTTTTATAGGCTTGATTATGGAGATTATCCCTAAACCCTAAACCCTAAACCCTAAACCCTAAACCCTAAACCCTAAACCCTAAACCCTAAACCCTAAACCCTAAACCAAAAGCCCTAAAACCCTAAACCCTAAACCCTAAACCTCAGCCTATCCTGGTTTGATCGCTAGAGGGCCCGACTACCTCGCACGTTAAATATGGGGGTTTCCGACATTTCGGGGTACCTTTTTTGGGGTCCTTATGATAAGGGATCCTACTATATGGCCATATGGTTGTCTATACTAAGGGTCCCTCTTATTATCGCAAACTCCTTTGTTATTTCTCAAAGTGATACCTCCGAGACCCTGATCCTGAACCCTAATACCCTGAAACTTTAAACTTTACACCCCAAAACCCTAGACCCTAAAACCCTAAACCCCATAAACCCCCTGACCCCTTTAAACCCTACCCTAAACCCTGAACTACAGCCCTTCGGCTTGCGAGTGCGAGGTGTCGGCGTGGAAGTTTAACTTCCACTTTGATCCACACAAAGGCTTTTATGACGAGGACACACCCGACTTCAGAAACTTTAGGGTTTTTTGGCTTAGGAGCGTTCAGGGGTTTAGAGTTTTAGGGTTTAGGATGCGGACGGCCCACTGCTCTGTGACCTGAGATATGAGAAAGGCCTCAACCCTCAACCCCCCCCCAAGTTCGATAGATGCTTCAGCTGCAAATCCCTAGGATGCCCAGTAGGACGCGTATTCCCTTTTTTTGGGGTTCTTATCCCTGATAAACCCATACAGTATTGTCTCCTAGGTTCTGGGGAGCCAAGTCAGCTTAAAGACCAGCTCCCTTTTCGCAGCATCTACTGGCCATACCCTTAGCCTAGTTAGGAGTATGTTTCGGAGGGTTAAAGGGGCAACCTGTTATAGTCCGGATACGAAAGTCGAAGCTCACCAGCCCCGCAACATAAAGCACTAGCAACACATAGGAGCAGCAAAGTAACTGTGAGTCAGGCGACATCAGGAATCCCTAAACCCTATAATTAACCCTGAACCCTCAATCGCAGCATGTACAACAGCAGACCCGCAAAGCTTCGATAATTTTGTAAAACACGTCTCGACGCCCAAAAACCTAAATCCGAAACTCAAACCCTTTAAGCCTGCACCCTAAAGCTCCAAGATTCTCAGCCAACAGAACCTCCAACACTACGATTTAACCCCAGAACTTTGCATGAAAGTTTGGGGTTTATAGAGAGCTTCAAGGTTTAATGGGCTTTTGGGTTTAGCGGGTTTTACGGTTTTCGGTTTTAGGGGTTACCAAATAGGGACGTTGCGGAGTTCCACCCGTCAGCACCAAGGCTTTGCCGGACCCTGAGAAGATTTAGGGTTTAGGGTTTAAGGTTCATACAGGAATTTAGGTTCGCGGTTCGTCGGGTTTGAGATCTAACGCGTTTTGAGGCTTAGTGTTTTTTGGGTTATGAGCCTTGAGGTGTGGGGTTTTATAGGGTCTTAACCCAATAAACCCTGCACTTAAAGCCCAAACCTTTTTTTCCCCAAAACCCCTAAACCCCTAAACCCCTTAACCCTGCAACCCCCTAAATCCCTAAACCCCGCAACCCCCTAAACCCCTAAACCCTTAGACCTTGAGACCCCTAAGCCCCGAAACCCTTAGACCCCTAAAACAGTAAACCCCTAAACAACTAAACCCCTACACCCCTAAACCCCTACACCGCTAAACCCCTACACCTCCAAACCCTAAGATCCAAGATCCATGCCAGGACTTCCTGCAGAAGGTTTTCACTCCTACTCAGCTGGCAAGGCATCGGGAGCAGGCAGGGCAGCGGCTCTTGAAACCGTTATAAGGTTTAGGGGTTTAAGGGGTGAATTTAGGGTTTATGGATTTATGGTGTCGGAGTTTAGGGGTTTGGGGTTTAATTAGGGGTTTAGGGGTCTGCCCCTGAAGCCCTAAGCCACGAAACCCGAAAGAAGACCCCGCCCTCAGGATCTGTTATCTCTTCCTCCTTGGCTTGAATCAGGAGCTGCTTTAGGCATATCGCTTGTGGGTTTGGCAGCTGCTTGGTGTGAGGACTTCGGGCGTCATATCCCTCCCAACCCTAATACACCCTAAGGCCTAATCCCTAAGCCCTAATAAACCCTAGAACCTAAACCGAAACCTAAACCCTATAAGCCCTAAACCCTCAGCCCTAATGAAGCCCGAAGACCTAAGCCCCCAAGCCCCAAATCTTATTGGATCGAGGGGGAGGTGGGGAGGCTGCTCGGCTGGGGAAAGAGGCGGGTTTAGGGTTTGGGGTCTGGGGTTTAGGTTTGGGGTGCAGGATGCCTTTGAGAAAGAAGGGGCATGGACTTCATGGCCCAGGGCTGTGCCTTACAAAGACTGCGGATGCTTGGTTTATGCATGTTTATGCTGGAGCATCGACAGATCCAACTGCAAGCGGAAGGACCAACAGCGCCCCCGACCCTTTCTCGGTGCCCAAAGACGAGACCATGTCCGATGATCTTCGTCGCAGGTTCCCCTTCTAAACAAATTTAAACCGAAAAGGGTGCCCTTTTTCATTCCTAGGTGACTCTTGGGTCTAGTAGAGGTTTGGAAGGGCCGACGCTGAGTTTTCAGCGGCGACCTGCGGGCCGAATGCGAGACGGCGATTTCAACCATTCTGCACTCTTCTGTACATTGTCTTAATGCTGTGCGGTTCTTTGCGTGGGTGGATATGTTCTCGTACTTAGTGATTACATGGCCCAGCCAACCCTAACCCTACACCTTACACCCTACACCTTACACCCTACACCTTACACCTTACACCCTGCACCCTACACCCTACACCCTACACCCGACACCCTAAACCCTAAACCCGAAACCCTAAACCCTAAACCCAAGCCCAGGGCCCCTGTCCTGCCAGGGCATATACCCATACCTGTTCGGCGAGGAGGCTTTGGGAACCTCTTTGGCTCTGGCCTAAGGGTTCCAGGGTTTGGGGTTAGGGTTTAAGGTTTAGGGTTCCACGGTTTAGGGTTTAGGGCTTATGGTTACAGGGTCTAGGGTTTCGGGTTCCAGGGTTTAGGGTTTAGGGTTCCAAGGTTTAGGCTTAGGGTTTAGGGTTTAGGGTTTAGGGTTTAGGGTTTAGGGTTTAGGGTTTAGGGTTTAGGGTTTAGGGTTTAGGGTTTGGGGGCCGAAGTTTCAAGGAGCTTACAGTTCTAAAGTTGCGGGCTATAGGGTTTAGGGTTTAGTGTTTACGGGGAACAAAAGGGCTTCGCTACGTTCAGTGCTTCTGTTTCGCTGTGTGTACCCCAAACGGGACAGGCACCCGAAGTTTAATCAAATGGATTGGGGCTTTCCAAGAAACATACAGCATCTGTAAGTGCCTGGGAACCTAAACCCTCAACCCGCATATGCCAAGATTCACGGACCAAACCGCACTCTAATCTGAAGGGGTGGGGCCATCCAAGTGGAATGGCTCTGGGCCACTATATGAGTCTAGGGCCTAGAAAACCCCAAACCCTAAACCCCAAAACCTAAACCCTAAAGCATAAACCCCACGCCCTAAACCCTAAACCCCAAACCTTAAACAGCTAAACCCCTAAACCCATAAACCCCTAACCCCTAAACCCAAAACCCCTAAACCCCTAAACCCTAAACCCCCAAACCCTAATCCTAACCCCTAAACCCCTAAACCCCTAAACCCCCTAAACCCCCTAAACCCCCTAAACCCCCTAAACCCCCTAAACCCCCTAAACCCTAAAACCCTCTTCCAGGCGCCCCAAAAGCCTGAAAGTCCCTAAGCCCGAAGCCTCTTTCTCCGCCAATATCTCTACAAAGTTTTAGGGTTTAGGGTTTAGGGTTTAGGGTTTAGTGTTTAGGGTTTAGGGTTTAGGGCGCCTGAGGTTCTCACGGAGGAGTCGCAGTACATCCTCTTCAGCTCTGAGAATCAGATCAACCAGTCGCCGGGGTCCTTTGGGACAGGGCTTATGGCTTAGGGCTTTGGCGAGGGTTCAGGCGGTTTGGGGCTTGTAGGGGACTGCTTTGGGACTTTGTAGGATTTCGTTTTGTTTCGTTGAAAGCCCGAAGCCCAAGACTACTTCTGGTTCAGGGGGGCGGACAGGGGTTTAGGGCTTAGTGTCAGAAGCAATGCAACAGAAGAGCAGCAGAGTGCTCTCCTGAGGGAGCCCAAGTATGAGGACCACCCAAGTCCCAAATATGAATCACTGGGATAGACCTACAGTTACGTTTGGGCTGGAAACTCCCATGAACCTCCAAGTAGAGGTGGTATGGAACGCTCAGCAAGTATGCTACCTTTGAGGAGACTCCACAACTGCTAGATGTTCATGGTTATGTAGTTGTAGTTGTATGTATGCATGTACGTATATATATATATTATATAGATAGATAGATAGATAGATAGATAGATATAGATGAGAGAGGGAGAGGGAGGGAGGGGGGGGGAGGGGGGAGGGGGGGAGGGAGGGACGGAGGGAGGGAGGGAGGGAGGGAGCGAGGGAGCAAAGGGAGCGAGGTAGCGAGGGAGCGAGGGAGAGAGGGAGCGAGAGAGAGAGGGAGGGAGGGAGGGAGAGAGAGAGAGAGGGAGAGAGAAGGAGCTGGGGTTCCCTTATAGCCTTATAGGGTTCCCCCTTGACTACTTATTGCGCTGTTTAAGTCCCTTGGTTGCTGGGGCTTGTGGCAAAGGGTTTCTGGTTTCGTTAGTATTTAGGCATTTAGGGTTTGGGAATTTGGGTTTCGGGTTTTGGTTTTGGGCTTCAGAAGTTTGAGGGACTGCGCCGCATTGTGAAGATCCCAGCGGCTCCGATCGGAAGCTTTCATTATTCCCCCATTCCCTCCGAACCAACAGTAAGCTCATGGACTCTCAGGTAGTTCGATGACACTCTAAACGCAAACCCTAAGGCTTTACTTACTGCTGGTTAGTAGGGAATGGGGCAATATGTTTACAGTGTCTAATATATAATCCCTTCAAGGGTATATTATATTGCTAGCCCCCCCCCCCCCTGTTATCCACCGTTTTGTTGCTTTCCATGGTGCCTCTACTACCTTTTGCATGTATATTTCGAAGGTTGTGACGTCATATGTGCGAATAAAAGGATATTCGCTCACAGTATTCTCGCATCCCCGGGGCCTACAGGACATGTCTTTTTCGCGCCATCCTATGCGCTCGAACGCTTCCTAGTCTTATGGTTCGAGGCCTGCCATCCTTCCTTTTCCATGTTCTATACTTGAATATACAATGCATGTACCCTATAAACGTACATGATGTGGGTACTCCTTATGCTTGTTCTGTACATTTCCACGGGAGGCAAGCCCTACATACTAAAAACATAGGCATAACCCTATGAGATTTAAGGTTTAGGGATTTAAGCCTCAAGCCCTATATGGTTAGAAGGTTCTAATGCCTAAACCTTACACCCGATAGGGCTTAAACCCAAAAGGGCTAACCCCGTCAGGCTTTTAGAGAAGGTTGAGCTGCCTAAACCTGAGGCTTAAATTCTAATACTTTAAATGCACTTAGACCTAGGTCTGGACATTTATGTCTTCAGCACCTCTAGGGCTACAGCCTTCTAATCTTTTGGAGCCCTAAAGGGTTTCAGGGTTCTGACCCTCAAGGGTTTAAGGTAATGCTTAAAGCTTAGACCCCATAGGGTTAAACCTTATAGAGCTAACCCCGTCAGGGTATTAGAGATAATCTCCGAAAAGCCCTATAAGGCTTTTCACCCCTAAAGGGTTTAAAGGTTTATATGCCTAAACTTGAGGTGTAAATTCTGGTACTTTATGTGCATTTAAGATGCCCAAACCTTAAACCCTTGCGACTTAAACTCTATGGCTTAGGTTTAAATGCTCAGTTCTTCAACCCTGAATCTTTAAACCTTTTAACCCTATAGGTTAAGGGTTTAGGTAAGGGTTAAGGTTAAGGTTTGAATGCCCAAACCTTAAGCCCTTGCGGCTTAAACTCTATGGCTTAGGTTTAAATGGCCAGTTCTTCAACCCTGAAACTTTACACCTTAACCCTAAGGTTAAGGGTTTAGGCTTAATTGCCGGCTTAGGTTTAAATGCCTAAACCTTAAACTCTAAACCTTCAGATCTGAACCCTATAGGGTTTATAGATTAAGGATTGAGGTTTAATTGCTTCACCCTGGAGCAATATACGTAGGCTTGAAAGGTTGAAGGTGGAAAGTTTAACCCTAAACACTTAACACCTGAAACCCTAAAGCGTTTCGTGGCTTCTCTTTACAAGCCCTACACCCTTAACCGATGAACATTTTAGAGATAAGCCCTGAAAAGCCCTTAAAGAAATCAGGGAGCGGAGGGGAGCGGAGGGGAGCGAAGCGGAGGGGAGCGAAGCGCAGCAGGGGAGGGAGATAGCAGAGGTCCTGGGGCTAAGTTGGAAGAACTTCCCCCTCCCCCCCCCCCCTCGGGAGGATTGAACTTCAAAACTCGGGACCCTGGATTCAAGATCCCAGGGAAACTTTTCCCTGGAACCTTGAATCTTGGATCTTGAATCCCAGAGTATTGAACTTCAATCCGGAGTATTGAACTTCAATACTCCGGGATTCAAGATTCAAGGTTCCAGGGAAAAGTTTCCCCGGGATCTTGAATCTTGAATCCCGGAGTATTGAAGTTCAATCCGGAGCATTGAACTTCAATACTCCTTGTCCCTCATCGTGCTTGACCATTGAGGGGGGGGGGGTACAATCAGATTGTATAGGGGGATACTAAGCATCAGAGGGTTTAGGGTTTAGGGGTACAGGGCTTGGGGTTCAGGGTTTCTGAAAGGTCACGCCTCTGGCGCTCGTCGGGGAGCCGCAGCCTTTGCAATGAACCTTTTGGGGGTTTAGGGTTTGGGGTTTGCAGGGTTTCGGGCTAAAGGTTTCCTGGCCACCCCCCCCGCCCCCCCTAAACCGATAATGTTTTGTTTTTGGGTGGGGGGTTTCGTTCAGGATGTCGGTTCAAAATCCAAATCTGTGGGGTTTAGGGTTTCTACCTTGGGGACGAAAGGAATCCCAAGTCGAGTTCGGGTCATTTGTTTTAGTGGGTTTAGGGTTTAGGGTTAATAGTTTGTAGTACTACAGGGTATATGATCCCATTTTCTCGGATTTTCTTGCCCCAACCCCCCACCCCCCCACGGCAGGGGTTTAACGGTTTTACCGCAGTTCACGGTAGAGTTGAGACCCTAAACCCTAAACCCTAATACCGTAAACCCTATACCCGAAACCCTATGTTGTAAACCCTATGTTCTAAACCCTAAACCCTTAAACCCTAAGCCCTAATACTGCAAACCCTATACCCTAAATCCTAAGTTCTACACCCTCAATCCCTAAACCGAAAACCCTCAAACCCTTCTACACCCTAAATCCCTAAACCCAAAGCCCTGAAACCCTAAACCCTAAACCCTAATACTGTCAACCCTTTACCCTAATCCTAAGTTCTACACCCTAAATCCCTAAACCCAAAACCCTCAAACCCTAACCCTAAACCCTAATACTTTAAACCCTTTACCCTAAATCCTCAGTCCCTAAGCCTCCAAACCCTAAACTGCAAGTTGAAACAGCTCCTGGGACATGTTCGGGGCTCAGGGTTTAGATGGCGACGCTGGAGTTCGAGCCCTTAGGCAGTGGGTTTTAGGTTCAGGGCTTCGGGTGTAGGGTTTGGCTTACGGTTTTCGGGCTTCGCGGGTTAGAACAGAGTTGCTAGAAACGCTTCTGACAGAACATTCCGACGTTCAGAAATTATGCGGCCTATGCGACAAAACAAGTCTAGAGACCCTAATCCCTAAGGCCTAGAACTGAAGCCCTATCACCCCTAAACCCTAAAACCCTAAAACCTATAAACCCTAAAACCCTGAAACATACTCGCGCATTCATACCACAATCCACACATCACACTCTCTCAATCCTCGCACCTCACAACCAAAACCCTGAACCCTGAACCTAAACAATCGAAACCAACAGCCGGAGCCCTCGGCGTGGGATTGTCTTGGCTTGTGAAATTTGGGGGCCCAGGGCGCCCATAGGAGGGGAGCCCTCATCACCCTACGCCCTCGTCACCCTAAGCCTTCATCACCCTAAGCCCTCATCACCTAGACCCTCATCACCTTGAACCCTCATCACCATCATCACCCTAAGCTCAGAACCCTCATCTAAACCCTCATCACCCTAAACCCATCTAAAACCCTACACCCTCATCACCCGAAGCCCTGAACCAGAGGTCCTTACGTCGACTGCCGGGAGCGACGGCGCCCTGCCAGCAGTGGATCTGAAGACCCTACGCCTCCAAGCCTCTGAGCCCCTTTCAACTACGAGTCCCAGTCCAGGGTTTCAGGGTTCAGGGGTTTGGGGTTTTGGGGTTTAGGGTTTTGGGGTTTAGGGTTTAGGGTGTAGGGTGTAGGGTTTAGGGTCCCTTACCTTAAACGCTACACCCTAAACTAGGCCCTGAACCCTACATCCTATATCGAGTTTGGGGTCGAGGGAAAGAGCACCCTTACGATGCGGTTTAGGGTTTAGGGCTTAGGGTTTGGACGGGCTACCTACCTAGTTAATCACCCTAAGCCCTTAAGCCCTAAACCCCAAAACCCCAAACCCCAAAACACAAAACCCTAAACCCACAACGACTCAATCGACTTCGGCCCTTAAGCCGCTTAGCACTGCCAGGTTTGTCCTACAGCGAGAACCCCAAACCTTCCTACTGGTTCTTAGTAGGGAATGAAGGAATATAGGTGCCATTTAGAGTACCCCCTTTGAAAGGGTATGTAGAGGGAGCGATCAATCCGGCGAACGTTGTCCGAGAAGATCCAGGATCCCTGGACGCAAAGCGAAGCAAGCCTCAGACTATGGCGGACCTGCGCAAAAACATGGGCTTTCCGGCTATGAGTGCGCCTGACCGCGAAGCGGCTGAAGACACCCTGACGAGAAGTTTTTGATCATAGCCCTCTGCCTATCGACTTTGTCGCGCTGGGGTGATATTTGCCAAGCCTCCGAAATTTCTGGTGACGCTTTTGGAAAATATGGACTCTCTTCGGACGCAGTTGGGGAGGTGGAAGCGCGCAGAGTCACAATGTTGTTTCAAACCCTGCCGGTATACCCCTACTGCCTCGCTGTGATCACGTGCGTACAAGGAAGTGTCGATCTGCTGAAGCAGTGCTCTCTCCGTGGGGAAGATGAAGGATACGGAAATGCGTACCTAATTCCCTCAGGTCGTTGAGGCGATGGGGCCCCCCTTCCCCGGCCCAATTGGCCAAAGAGGTTCTTATATACGCACTTTCAGAAATGGTAGTTACTCCTTCTGAACCCCCCCTCAAAAAAGAATCCCCGAGGTTTTTCAGCAAAGCCCCGACTGCCTGTTGAGCCCTTAGACTGTTCCTGGTTCAGAGGTTTTCAAGCACAGCCCCTAACCCCCCAAAGCCCCTAAACCCCAAAGACCTGAACCCCTAAACCATCCTCAAGGGCCAAGACTAGGCCCTTATTCCCTTATTTTGGGGTTAGGTTCCCCCCTTCTAGTCCCCTTTATGAAGGGTGCCCTTTTGATTCCTAGGATACTCTGAGGTCTAGTCCTAAACCTCAATCATCTAGAAGCGAAGTCGACAGCAGCCATTTGGCCAGGATGACCTCAGCACCTTCTGGCAAGCGTCCTGGGGCGCGTGCCTGAGGTTTAGGGGAACTTGAGGTTCAGGGGAACTTGGGGTTGAGGGTTTGAGGTTTAGGGTTTGGGGTTCGGGGTTTAGGGTTCAGGGTTCGGGGTTCCGGGTTTGGGGTTTGGGGGTTTAAGGTTTGGGTTTTAGGGTTTGGGGTTTGGGGTTCAGGTTTATGGGAAATTCCCCCCCCTGACATTGGATCGACTGCTTCTCCTGGTGTCGGCTCAGCTTTGGGTTCAGGGTTGAGTGGGGATTTGAGTTTAGGGTATTTTTGGGTTTTAGGGTTTGCTCTTACTTAGCCGGCAGTCGAATCTTCTACTTCTTGGGTTCGTTTTTGATAAAATGTCCACCTGTTTATTTGACTCTGGTTGTATGCCCAACCCTACACAAGACCCTTGCCTCCCACCCCCAACCCAAAACCCTAAACTCTAAATCCTCTACCCTGAACCCTAGAGCAATAAAGAGCGACGGGAACCTAACCAAACTCCACGCAATTCTCCTGGGGCTGTGCTTCACATTGCGGGGGGGGGGGGGGGGGGAGGCACACCTACACTAGGGAGAGAGGAAAGGTTGGAAGCCTTATGCTGAGACAGAAAAGCATCAAACTGTGCCTTGGGGATGGCAGTTGTGATATCTCCATTAACCACCTGAAAGGTATCATTTGGGAGTTCAACAAGCTTCAATCCCGAAGCAACATCCCTATAAACCCTATAAACCCTCTAAACCCTAAAGGCCTTAAGCCCTAAACGCAGTTGCAAGAGCCGCACAGCAAGTCCACAGCCTCGCAGCAACGTAGACTGCGGCGTCTTTCCTGCAATTTGGCCATTTCAAAGGTTAGGGTTTCGGGTTTAGGGTTTTGGGCTCAGGGAACTACACCTTAAACCCCACAGCCCTCCAAAGCCCGATGTATGACGTTCTACAGAAGCCCGGTAGTCATCCGAGGTCATTCCAGGAGCGCCGGGAGCGTCGACACCTGAATGTGGATAGGGTTTAGGGTTTCAGGGTTTTCGAGGTTTTGGGGAACCCTAAGCCCTAAGCTGAGATCTTAAACCCCAAAACCCCTAAACCTGTTTCTTAACTTAACACCGAAACCCTAGACCCTGCCTAGAACCAAAACCCCCAGACCCTAAACCCTAAATCCTAAGCCCCTGAACCCTACACTCCTAGACCCTAAACCCCAAACCCCAACTGAGGCTTGGGGTTCAGGGCGCAGTGCGTAGGGTCAAGGGGAGTTAGATTGCTGAATCCATGGGGTTTAGGGTTTAGGGAAACCCGATATGAGGTTCAGCTTATTGGGGTTCCTACTTCAAGGGGATCCTACTCTGTATTAGGGGTCCTTTATTATCGTAAACCCCCATCGGTTGTATAGGCTTCAGGTTCATAGGGTATCATAGGTTGAATCGAGTTTTGTGGGGCTCTGGCACCTGACGCCCAAAACCCCAACCCCTATACCCTAAACTCTAAACCCTTAAAACCCCCTCAGTGCGGCACGACCGGATGAGATACTTCGGACCGAGGCTCTAAACCCTAAACCCTAAACCTTAAACCCTGAACCCTAAACCCTAGAACCGTAGAACCCTAAAACCCTAAAACCCGAAAACCCTAAACCCTGAACCCTAAACCCTAAGGGGCCCTGAAATCGCTTTTCCCAAGTCCCAAAGGTCAGCTCACACAAGCCTAAGGCCTCCCGCAAACCGAAGGGATTCAGGGTTTAAGGTTTAGTGGTTTAGGCTTTAGGGTTCAGGGCTTAAGTGGTTTAGGGTATTTAGTGTTTAGTGGTTTAGGGTACGGGGCAACCCAAAGGAGAAAAGGGAAACCAAAACCAAACCCCTAGGATTGCAGATATATGTTTCAACCGAAAAAACCCTGAATCCCTGAGGAGGCACCCAGGGGTAAAGGGGGTCCGGGAAGAGATAACCGACCTAGGCCTAACCACCAACCCGGAGAACCAACCCCAAAACACCAACCTCAAGCCAGTAGCCCCAACACACGTGTTTTTCATCTTGAGCCATGTAGCCGCGGGTACATTGACCCTTTAACACCAACAACAACTTGACAAAGCTATTGCTCCGCATAGGGTTCAGTGGTTTAGGGGTTTAGGGGTTTAGGGTTTCGTGGTTTAGGTCTAGGGTTTCGCGGTTTAGGGTCTAGGCAGAGTCCAGGGTTTCCGGGGTTATAGTTAAGAGACCTCAATGCCGCAAAACCCCAGAGCTTTGTGGACTCTCCCTCCAAGGCCAAGAGAGATCATGGTTCCGGCGGAAGTGGTCAGCGGATTGATAGGCGCCCCGGTGCTCTTTTCAGGGTTCTGAAAGGGCTTTCGGCCACTTTTGCTGAGGTTTAGGATTCAGAGATCAGGTTTCAGGGCTTCTGGTTTAGGGTTTAGGTTTCAGGGTTCAGGGTTTAGGGTTCAGGGGTTAGGGCAACCCACTTGCAGGTGGAAGCCTTTTGGTTCTGTGGGTGATGCAGCGGGCTGGTTGGGCAAACTTGCAGCAACCTTCGTCCCCCTAAGCCCCCCGCCGAAAAAACCCTTCAGAAACTTTAGGGTCTGGGGTTGCTGTAAGGGTTTTGGATTTAGGCCTATCAGCCTCTACATCCCTGAACTGCCCCAAAACCGCTCAAAACGACTTGAAAACCAGTTCTTCTGGCGATTTCTGTGTTTGCGCTTTAGCGGAACCCTAAAACCTAACCCTAAGCCACGGCGCCCTTAGCCTGTGGAGCTTGGTGCACGGTGCGGACTCCGCTTACCCGGGTTTCGGGGTTAATTAAGGTGTAGCCCTAGATAAAGCCCTCAAGCCGAAAGCCCTGAACACCCGCACCCCTGAACCCTAAGACGCCGAACCCGAAACCCTAAAACTTCAAACCCTGCACCCTAAACCCTGCAACTATAACCTTACTTGGCGCAGGTCGTGGTGGCTCCATCATCAAGTCCATTCGGCAGAGAGCTGGAGGTGGCTGTGCTTAGGGTTTAGGGTTTAGGGGTTGGGGGGGTTGGATGATCCAAGGATTCTAGGACAGAGAAGGCTCTTATTCCCTTATTTTAGGGTCAGGTCCCCCTTTTAAATCTCTTTAAAGCAAAAAGGTCTAGGTTTAGGGTTTAGGATGATCCACCATCCTCCCTCCATGCCCAGTCCACCCATGCCCAGACGATGACCCCGTCTGTCCACGCAACTTGTTTTTTTTGCGCCAGAGCATCCATGTCCCAACGACGTTAGCCAGAGTATCCATGGTACATGCTGGGAATAGTCCAGCAGACATAAACCTTAAGCCTTAAGCCCTAAACCCTAAACCCCAAACCCTACGCAGTGCATGGGTCAAGCTCAATCAAGACTCGCAGCATCTCTTTCCTGCCACTCCCCTCTGCACTAAATTCTGGATGAGGACGAGCCATTACATGCACTAAGCCACAGCGGGAATGCATGCACTGATGTTTTCCTGAGTTTTTCGTCCCCGCACCATTGAGACCATTGAAGTCTCGCGAAGCTCCAAAGCTGTCATCCTAACAGTGGGCCCCAAAACCATCCGCTGTGATTGGCACGCTTTGTGCAGACTGCTCGACCCTAAGCCCTAAACCCTGAACTCTGCTTTCTTCGATTTGGAAGCTCTGAGCACGGAGGTCAGTGCCGCATCTCCTTGCTGCCCGGGCCTGAGGGAGTGGGCATTGTTGCTGCATCGCTTAAACCTCAGAAGCGAAAAATCCTGAAATCCCAAAACCACCCGGGAAAAAACCCAGTAGCCATCCAAAAAGACCCCAGAACCCGTACAACTAGGACCCATAGCTTGTTCCCTTATTTTTGGGTTAGGTTCCTCTTTTAAGCCCTTTAATCCCAAAAGGGTGCCCCTTTTATTCCTAGGTTAGTTTTTGGTCTAGAGAAATACCCTAAGTCCTTCGGGCCAGGGCCGTGAAGACCCAGATGCTACGACTTGAATCCTATCCCACCCGTTTAGGGTTTAGGGTTTAGGGTTTAGGGTTTGGGGTTTCACCTGCCCTAAGCCCTTCGGCCCTAGACGCCTTTAAAGCCCCGTCGCTCGGAAGCCCTTCTCGCCACTCCCTGCACCCTAAAACCCTCGAATCCAAGCCCTTTAACCCTAGACCCTAAACCCCAAACCCTAGGCCTCTTAAGCCCTTGAGCCCCCAATTTTTTGAAACTTCATTGGGCCCCTTAAAGCTCTCAATCCCTCCCAGCCTGAAAAGCCCACAACCTCAACCCCAATGCCCTGAGCCCTAGAACCCTAAACCCTAGACCCTAAACCCTATACCCTAAACCCTAAAACCTAAACCCCGCCACTTTTGAGGCAGCCCGAAGTGCCGGGAGGGCCGCAGGCTCCGGCATAAAGTGGGGAAGGGTTCGGATCGCGTTATTGTTGGGTTTAGGGTTTAGGGTTTTGGGAGCCTAAACCCTAAACCCTAAACCCTTATAAACCCTAAACCCTAAACCCTAAACCCTAAACCCTAAACCCTAAACCCTAAACCCTAAACCCTAAACCCTAAACCCTAAACCCTAAACCCTAAACCCTAAACCCTAAACCCTAAACCCTAAACCCTAAACCTAAAGCACCGAGGTCTTGTCCAGCATAGGCAGGGCTTCCGCAGTCTCCTAAGCCCTGAACCCTTTGCCCTAGACTCCTAAACTCCTAAACTCCTAAACCCTAAGCCCTAAACTCCTAAACTCCTAAACTCCTAAACCTTCATCTCCTAAGCCCTAAAACCCTAAGCCCTAAACTCTTAAACCCTTAGCCCTGAACCCTTAGCCTCCCGAGGTGCCAAACTCAGGAGGGCAATGGAAGGACACGCAAGATCCTGATAACTTCAGATTGAACCTATATATAAAGCCCGAACCATCAAGAACACCCACTGGTGGGCTTAGGGTTTAGAAGTTTCGGAGTCTAGGAGTCTAGAAGTTTAGGAGTTTGGGAGTTTAGGGTTTCCCACCGGCGACAGAGGCAGCCGGCCAAGAAGCTGGCCTACCTGCGGGAGGGGCGAGAGCTGTAGTCGCCCTCGTCCGGGTTCAGCAACCAGTCGAGGAGGCAATCACTTGGAGGCCCAAACCCTAAACCCTAGAAACCTAGAACCCTAAACCCTGAACCCTAAACCCTAAACCCTAAACCCTACTCCATGACCTGCGCGCACTCCTGAGGAATAGGAGGAGGTCCACCCTGGAGCTGTAAACTACAGACTGCGAGCAAACTTCCTTCACAGGAGTATGACCAGGGGAAAGTCTTAGACCCTGAACCCTACTCTGTAAACATACCTAAACCCTAGACATTATGCAAGCGTGCTAGTGGCCTTTGGTACCCCAGAAGCTGTCAGGTTTCGAGCCCTAAACCCTTCGCCCTAAACACTCCCAAACTCCTAAACTCCCAAACTCCCAAACTCCTAACTCCTACACCCTTAGCCCTAAACACTCCTAAACTCCTAACCCCAAACTCCTAACTCCTAGCCCCTTGGCCCTAAACTCCCAAACTCCTAAACTCCTCAACCCTAAGTCCTTCCGGGCGCCAGGTTTGCCGCATCACCGGTCCGGAGGTGCGCCTGCGTGGCAGTTCATGGGTTTCTCCAGCTACCTACGATTTGGGTTTGGGGTTTTGGACTTCGGTTTTTGGTTTTGGGTTTGGGGCTTTGGACCTCGGATTTAGGGTTTAGGGCTGATGACTTCGGGTTTTGCAGGGCCTAGGGTTTAGCTGATCGCCTAGATGTAGGGGCTATTCAGAGTTTAGGGTTGAGGTGGGGGGTGCTTTGGGGGATAGAATGCCCCACGTCCTCACACTGATTTTCTGTAGGGCTTGGGGGTTTCGGGCCCACCAGGCCTCCTTTCGAACCTCAGGCGTTTGCCGCTTCGTGTTGTTCTTTCTGCGAGCAAGTGGTGGCAAAGTGTCAAGAACTCTAAACCCTAAACCAGATATCTTAAAGGGTTTAGGGCACTTTGCCGCCACCTGCGCCTTCAACCTCAAGCCCAAAACCCTCTTGACCCTGAACTCTAGGCCCTAAGCCCTGCGCCTAAACCCTCAACCCTAAACCTTAAGCACCCCTAAACCCTAAACCCTAAACCCTAAACCCTAAACCCTAAACCCTAAACCCTAAACCCTAAACCCTAAACCCTAAACCCTAAACCCTAAACCCTAAACCCTAAACCCTAAACCCTAAACCGCAGAAAGTAGGGGCTCAGAATGTTGAGGCTTGAGGCCGCCAGAGAGCGCGTAGCAGTGTAGTGAGCTTAAGGTGTAGGGGTTTAGGATAAAGCCGGCAAAGGACTGAACACTCGACGGATCGCCTAAAATGCCGTGCAACCCAAGAACCTTCAAATCCTAAAACCCCCAACCCCCCAAAAAACCCTAAACCCCTAAACCCTAACCCTTAGAAACCCCAAAACCCTTTCATCCCTCAAGTGAGCCATGCTTGGGGCTGCATAGGGTCTCAAGCAGATCGCTCAGGTTTGGGGTTTAGGGTTTAGGATTTAGGGTTTAGGGCATAGGGTTTAGGTGACAACCTTGTCGAGTACCAATGAGCCTTTGGGAACTTCGCAGGAGCTCCTCCAACGGGCCGAGGCAAGAGCCCTGTTGAGGGCTGTCCGTTGAGTAATTTCTGTTAAGGACCACCTTAAATCCAAAACCCTAGACCCTTTGCCCTAAACCCTTTGAGAATTGGGCTAACATCCAAAGCCTCGAGCCCTGCTAAACTCCAACCCCAATGGCCAAGGGTGCTGTAGCACTACGCCTTCGAGCTTAGGGCCACTAAACTAAACCCTAAACCCTAAGCCCTAATCCCCAAACCCCAAACTGTAAGCCCTAAACCCCAAACCCCAAACCCCAAACTCTAAACCCCAAACCCAAACCCTAAACCCCAAACCCTAGCTTCAGGGGCCTTATGGCTGGAGATCCTGGGCCGGTTCCCCTGGGAATCGATCCCACGATCCCTAATCCTCTTAGCCCTTGACTTGGGTTTTGGGGTTTAGGAGTTTAGGGGTTTAGGGTTTAGGGTGTAGGGTGCATCCTCCAGACCCCCTAAGCCACATGCGCGGGGAGGGGAGGGTGTATTTGGGATGCCTCCAAGAAGGGCACATAGTTTTTCGACAACCCCCATGTCGCCATAAACCCTAAACCTTAAACGCTAATTAAACCCTCTGATTTACATGTGAATGAAAACTCGATTAGCCTTCGTGGGCAAGGTCAGTTTTCTTCGTGGACAGATTTAGTTTTCTTCGTGGGCATATTTCAGGTTCATTCATGGGCAAGTTCGGTTTTCCCTGAAAGGTTTTAGGCTTTGAGGCCTAGGGTTTGGGGAATAGGGTTTGGGGCTTAGGGTTTGACCTTTAGGTTTGGGGCCCAGGCTTGAAAGGCCCAGGGTTTGTGGCCTAGGTTTTTGGTCCTGGGGTTTTGGGGCCTAAACCACAACATGTTCGAAGGAGCTTGTCCAGATCAGGCTCAACGAGCTGCTCACGACCCGTGGCATTCGACCGTGGGGATCACCCAGCAGTTCTTTAGACCCACCCGAAGTGGGTTTAGGGTTTGGAGAGTTTAGGGAGTAGGGTTTAGGGTTTAGGGGGTGTAGGGTTTAGGGTTTTGGGGGGCTTGGGGGGTTGGGTTAGTGAAGTTTCGGGATTTAGTGCGTTTTGGTTCTAAAGTTTCGGGTCTAGAGGGTTTAGGGCTGAAGCTTTCGAGTCTCAGGCGTTGAAGGCTTGAGAGGGTTTGGGGTTTGGGGTTTCACTGATGCGGCGGTTGCTGTTCGAGCTATGGGCCTACCAGGGAATACAGGGTTTATGTTGACACAGTTCAGGGTTTAGGGTTTTAGCTTGTATGGTGTTTAGGGTTTTTTGAGGACTTCTGTGTTCTGTGGGTACTGTATGGTTTGTCCTGTTCTGGTGGCAGTTGACATCTAGGACAGCAGCCTGCGGTGGCCTTGCAAGTATAAGCTACCCTACCCGGAACTACCCTACTTTGCCTGAGTTCCTGGGAAACTGGACATGCCTCGAAACGCGCCACGGCCACAATCCTCAACCCCAAACCCTCAAACCTACATCCTCAACCCCAAACAGCAAACACTCAACCCTACCCGAACCTGAAACCCCTAGCCCAAAACCAAAACCCCAACCCTTGATTCTTAAACCCTGACTCAAGCCACACTCTCAACCCTGGAGGCCCTGGAGGCCCTAGACCCTAAACCCTAAACCCTAAACCCACTCAACCCTCAACGTGGCGCAGGGCGGGAGGAGCCTGGGCGCCTGCCTACCCGCAGGCGTGGCACCTTGAGGGCTTAGGGATATTTAGGGTTTAGGGTTTAGGGTTTAGGGTTTTGGGATGTTTAGGGTTAGAGTTTTGGGCTTAGGGCTTAGTGGTTTTTTCGAGTTCAGGGTTTAGGGCTTAGGGCTTAGCGTTTCTTGGAGTTCAGGGCTTAGGGCTTATAGGGCTTAGGGTTTAGGGTTTATTAGAGTTCAGGGCTTAGGGCTTACAGGCTGAGGGTTTATTCGAGTTTAGGGTTTTCGGGTTCCGAGTTAGAGCTTAGGGTTTAGTGTTCTGCGTCCCTGGGTTTAGGGGCTGAAAGACCCTAAACCCTAAACCCTAACCAATTAAACCCTAATTAAGCATTAAACCCTAAACCCCTGAACCCCTGAACCCATGAACCCCTAAACCCCTAAACCCCTAAACCCCTAACCCCCTAAACCCCTAAACCCCTAAACCCCTAAACCCCTAAACCCCTAAACCCCTAAACCCCTAAACCCCTAAACCCCTAAACCCCTAAACCCCTAAACCCCTAAACCCCTAAACCCCTAAACCCCTAAACCCCTAAACACCTAAACCCCTAAACCCCTAAACCCCTAAACCCCTAAACCCCTAAACCCCTAAACCCCTAAACACCTAAACACCTAAACCCCTAAACCCCTAAACCCCTAAACCCCTAAACCCCTAAACCCCTAAACCTAAACCCCTAAACCCCTAAACCCCTAAACCCCTAAACCCCTAAACCCCTAAACCCCTAAACCCCTAAACCCCTAAACCCCTAAACCCCTAAACCCCTAAACCCCTAAACCCCTAAACCCCTAAACCCTAAACCCCTAAACCCCTAAACACCTAAACCCCTAAACCCCTAAACCCCTAAACCCCTAAACCCCTAAACCCCTAAACCCCTAAACACCTAAACACCTAAACCCCTAAACCCCTAAACCCCTAAACCCCTAAACCCCTAAACCCCTAAACCCCTAAACCCCTAAACCCCTAAACCCCTAAACCCCTAAACCCCTTCCCCCCTAAACCCCTAAACCCTAAACATAAGCTCAGGTTGAGAGTTTGGGGTGCGTGGCTTCGCCCGTTTCGGCCGTTTCGTACTTGGAGTTGCCACGACACTTGGAAAGACCCATTCCCTAAACCTAAAGCTCCCCAAACTCCTAAGCTTTTCGGGGTTTAGGGTTTAAGGCTTACAGTAGGGTTCTCGAAACTGATCAGACTTCACATGAATCGCAGCTGCAGTTCTGCGTTCACATACATCGTCTTCTTGTCCCAACTCCAATTCCGACCGCAAAGGCATCAATTGCTCTCGGGAACTTTTTGATTGCTCTCCTTCACCCGTTCCCAAGGGTACAAACCCCCAATAGAGCAACCTGAACGCTTCGGAGTGGCAAAACGACCAGCCCTTGAAGCACCCAAGTATAGCAAGTGGCCTAGGCCTAAAATCCCACAGCCCGCTTCCCTTCAGGTTATCAGAGCTCAGAACCCTACGCCCTAAGCCAGGGGTACATACTTACACTGGAGCCACAACTTGCGGTTCAGGATACACGACGCAAACCCCAAACCCCAAACCCAAAATCCTCGGCCCTAAATCTAGGCCAAGAGCGCATACTACGACCCCAAAGCCCGAGCACTGAAGGCCCCCATATATTCAAACCTAGAACCCAAAACCGGAAGGAAGGAAGGAAGGGCAGTACGCGAGTGTACTCACTGACTTGGCCTTATCAGGAGCACGACCCGCTTGCAGGCTCTAAACTGTATGGAACTCCCATCCACTTTCAGCCAGAAGACCTCAACCCTAAACCCGAAACCCGAAGCCCATATCCCTGACACCGCGGTCCACCTGACGGTTTGTAGGATTTAGGCTGTAGGGTTTCGGCTTCTGCCTGAAGGATGCTTGAGGTCTTCATCACCAGCAAAGCTGGCTGAGATGAAGAAACTGATCTTGGTTGCAAAGGACCATGGTTTAGGGTTTAGGGTTGAGCCGCTCGCCTAAAGCCTAAACCCTTGCGGCATGTGTTGTGCCCGCCCTTTTTATGTGTCCCTTGTCTATGTCTGGGTCTGAGATATGCCGGCTTAGCAGTGCCGCCTCTGCAAGGACGCTGCAAACCGCTGGGACTCGTCTACAGGGAACGTCGCGGTGAAGTCAGCGCGGCTCAGTTTAATGTTTAATTCCACCTTCGGGTTGCCAGAGGAATTCGACTAGTAATTAGGCCCAGCGAGTCCGCTCTAGCAGATCACAGTGCAGCACGCAGCCATACTCTTGAAGGAAGCCATCTTCATTGCTTATCACATCCGTGTACCTGCGTTCAGCTGTGTTCATGCGGTGAGTTGCTGCGAGCTCTGAAGAAAGCTGTCACATGAGCAGGAAAAGCTCATGAGGAACCAGCATTGCTGCAGCTGTGCGGTCTCATGGCACAATATGCGCTTGGCCAGTAAAACGCAAATGTTTGTTTGGCAGCGGCCGACATGGTGCCTTTGTCAGGCAGCCCTATGTTGTGCTGCATGCAGTTGCCGGAGGAAGGAGTGAAGAGTCTGGACACTGTGGTGGCTGTGGGTGGTCCACAACAAGTCCTCCTCCACTTCTGACCTCCTGTCAGGCAAACTGCTTGAAGAGTATCTGTATTTCGGCTAAGTCTCAGATTGTCAGCAGGTCAGGCGCGCAGGCTGCAGTGCGGTATGTATGTCCGAACGTACATACGAAAATCCCAACGGTGGTACAGCGAAGCTGTGATGCTAGCCATAAGCGTAGCTACACCACAAACGTTTTGTTCGAAGGTTGGCAGAATGGCAAGAGACGGGCATGAAGCCGGCCAGAAGTTGCACCAAGTCCTCAACATGCTAAAAAGAAGGGGTTCCTAAACTATGTCCTATAAGCCTTGAACCCGAAGAACTAACCCATGAACTAATCGGGCATCGATGTGTGCTCATTCCGAAGATGTCGGTTTGCACACTCCGTACGCACCAGGGGCACGCACGAGAAACACGGCGCATCCTGTTTCGGGTTTGGGCGGTTTTAAACCCGAAACCCTAGAAAACCTAAACCCTAAACATTAGTCTTGAACCCTCATAATGTTGAGATATAGGGCTTTTGGGATGTGGGTAGTTGCCTACGTGAGGTTTTCTTCAGGTCTATACTTGGGACCCCAAAAAGGGGCCGCAATTGCGAGAACTAACCATGTGGTGAGGTATAGAGTTTTAGTTCTTAGGATATCCGCATCGGGTTGTCATGATCAATGGAAGAGCACCAAGAAAGTGTGTTTTCTTGTTGTTCTTTTCGTGTGGAGTTCCTTAAGCCTTGAACCCAGTTCCAGCAAGATAGGTGAGGTTAGTGACTAATGGTCCATATACCAGAATCGGTAGGGTTTGCGGCTTTAGGGTTTAGGGCTTTAGGGTTTAGGGCTTTGGGCTTCAGGGCTTTAGGCACTAGGCTTTAGTGTTTAGGCTTTAGTGTTTAGGGTTTAAGTTTAGGGTTCAGGGTTCAGGGTTCAGGGTTCAGGGTTTAGGGTTTAGGGTTTAGGGTTTAGGGTTTAGGGTTTAGGGTTTAGGGTTTAGGGTTAGGGTTTAGGGTTTAGGGTTTATGGATTTCAGTTTCGGGTTTAGGTTCCGGGCTTAAGGTTGAGGGCTTAACGTTTAGGGGCTTAAGGTTTAGGGGCTAGATTAAGCTTTATAGGGATCAGGGATCAAGGGACACCAGCCCAGAAATCCTGATAGAAAGGCAACAGCATTCTGCTCGCCAGGTTGGTAAAGGAGTACCCTAAAGCCCTAAGCCCTAAGCCCTAAACCCCTTGATGTTTGGGCTTTCCAGGGCTGAACGTCGAGTGCTTACCTTAAGAACCCAGGTGTTTTGTGGTTTTGGGGTTTAGGGTTCGGTGGCTTTCAGGTGTCGCGTCTTCGAGCCTGGGTTG